GTTAGGATACTATTAGTACCTGTATCAAGACAAATGCCAATTGGGGTGACTAGGTTAGGATACTATTAGTACCTGTATCAAGACAAATGCCAATTAGGGTGACTAGGATAGGACACTATTAGTACCTGTATCGAGACAAATGCCAATTGGGGTGACTATGTTGATATTTTTTATTTTCTTGAGTTCCTGCATGTTTATTGCTTCAGTTATGAAGTCATCCAGTAGGTAGTTTTCACCTGGACATTTCAGTAGCTCTTTGACAGCCACATCCTCTTTCTGAAAAAAAACCATTGATAATACAATTTGTTAAGGGTTGAATTATTAGCATGTGTTGGTCAGCTAAGTACGTCTCAAAGCAAGTTTTAGTAAAAGTTAGGTTATTTCATAGGCTACTGGAAATAGCAGAACAACATAAATGGGGTAATGTAATGTATTGGCATTTCTCCCTCTTCTAAAAGAATGATATATTGAGGTTATTTGGAACTGCATCCTCTCCCATGCCCCGCCCAAGAGAAATGATTCCTGGATATCGATATCACAAAATTAGAACCTTACCAAAATGAAGGAAACTTTCTCACCTTTGACACACTTTTGACATATTTTTGTAATACCCCCCTGCGTACAATGCCAAAGTTGCCCTAAGAAAGAAAACAAACAAGAAGATCTTTGTAATGAGTCTAAGGTTAGCCATTGTAACAGTGCAATTGTCAGTAGTGCTTTTATTTTACTAAGTACCTTTCCAATGCATTCCTGTCTAGACAGATTTATCTGTTCAATTCTAAAGTCTTTGTCAATTTTTTCCTGCAATTCCTTGAGTCTGAGTCTTCTCAACTCCTCTGGAAAAAAATAACCAGTCAAGATATGAAATACTTATTAGTAAAGACACTATCAGTAAAACTAGTTTAACACTTTGATTGTCTGAGTCCTTCCATAGCCCATCATTAAATATTTGTCTATTAAATACTCACTAAGTAGTTGACACCTAGTTTATGTACCTTCACTATGGTTATCTTGACTGGTGGCAGGTGTGTCACATGGTAACATGCCTGTCATCTCTAAAGAAGGATGCTGGTTCATTTCAAATACAGGTTTTACAGATGAACTTGCTGAAACTTCACACACTGGCTGACGTCCTTCTGTGTTTTCTTGTACAGGTGAGGTGTTGATCGGTGCTTGTATTCTGTAACCATTGCTACACCCTACAGTTGGAACATCGCAAGACCAACCACTAGATATTTCTTCAATTGTTTCAGAACAATTGTCTGCTGTGTCACTTGACAAAGAATGTTCCTCAAAGTATCCATGATATCCATGTTTATCTAGACATGTACTTGCAAAATCTCCTGTTTCACATTGATCCAAAGATGTGCTTTCTGTTCCAGAATCTTGGCGATACATAACAAAATCTTCCAGCCCCTGGTCAAATAAGGTATGATTTTCACTTACTAGGCTAGCCGTACTGCTGCCTGACTGAATGAGACTTATTCCACCAAAATGATCTTGATACTGGTCAGTGGTAGTACTGCCTGGCTTAAGTGGGCTGGAAACACCCGAATGAGGTACATACTGGCCAGTGGTAGTACTGCCTGGTTGAAGTGGGCTGGAAACACCC